CTTACTTGTTAGTAATATTTTTAAGAAACATACTTGATATATTGGGTCATTTGGAAATGTTCAGGCCAACATTGACCGATACCCCACCTGTGATCAAATCTTTATCGGTAGTCAACCCGATTGGCGGCCTGTGTTCGGTCGGTTTGCATTTGATTTCCATTATGGTTAATGTCATGAAATCTTCTTAAAACTATTGTCGGATAACTAATTGTGAATTTCAATAACCAAATATTCACTTTAAACATGTATTTTGTAAAAATATTTTAACTTTAAAAATGTAATAATTTTTTACCAAATATTTTTGTACAAATTTGTAAAAATATATCCGACTGACACATTTTAAAAATTTCCAGTATAATGCCTAATCAACCAATCTTAATGAAACTTGGTTTCTGGTGCCTAAGAATGTTAACTTAAATTATGATACTATTTTCATAATTTTATCTACACTAGAAGGCAGTTAGGCCTGAACATTTCCAAATGACCCAATATATCAAGTATGTTTCTTAAAAATATTACTAACAAGTAAGTTTATTTTATTTATTACCAACAATATGTGTGGCATAATTGTCACGTTGTTTGAGATATTGGGGCCATATATTCCGTTCCAATGGTAGGCCAGTCGGGGATTGGGTGTAAATGATAGAGTTTTGAAGGCCCAGATGTATGGGATGTACGGCCGTCAGGAGCGCACCCCTACTCGGGCTGCATATGGGTTGGGCGTAGAAGTGGTTGAGTAGGACTCCATCGGCGGCCAGACTATCGATATTAGGTGTGAGGATGTGGTCGGAGTGATAGCCCACGTCTGCCCAACCCATGTCGTCGGCCACAAACAATATCACATTTGGCGCACGTTTTGCGCCCGTTATGGCCGTCACCGCCGACGCCACATAATAATATACTATTAGTATTGTATATATTGTTAATTTTGTAATCATTTTGCTATAATTGAACATAATAATTTTAAAATGTTTTAGACCTTCTATTAAATAAGTGATTGTAAGGTAAACGTAATTTACAATGAAATGCAATTTATTCAATAAATGTTTAATCATTTCTCGCGAAATTGGGTTTATATTATTTTTACACTATTTTAATAAACAATTTTTATTAATTATAAATTTCTTTGCCTTAAAACAAAATAATTAACAATTAATTGTCACAAAATGATATCGTTTTATAACCACACGGTAAGTATCATTAGAAAATGCGGGTTAAATGTACGGCTAATTTATAGCTATCAAATTCTAGCGCAATAATACTCGTAGAAAAATTTGTGATCATTTTGTTTAATGGAATTCACGTCAAAGTTATACTTGGGATCAGATGTCAGGCACCGGCTATTGACCGACCATTCGTTCCGGGCGTCCAATACTTGCCTACAATCGGGTCTCCGGTGGGGCTTCATATCGACCATCGTTGTCAACAATTGCTCCAATTTTATTATATTTTTATGAAATACATGGTTAGAGTAGACATCCATATCGTTTACACTGAAAGTAATTAATGATGGTTAGTTATTTTGTATATTAACTAACATGGTTATAATAGTATATTTACTCATCAGGGTCCAAACCAAACAGTTCGTGTGCGGCGATACCCAAACTAAACACATCAACTTTGCCGGTGTATTTAACACCTAGGTTAATTTCAGGTGCCATATATACAGGTGTGCCCACACCGGCCGAGTGCTTAATCAACGCG